TGGTCTCGAATTCCCGATGTTAGGTGATCTGCCTGCCTCAGCCTCCCAGAGTGCTGGGATTACAGGTGTGAGCCACTGCACCCAGACCCAAATGTTGTTATATTTAAAGAAAAATGGGCCAAGCGCGGTGGCTCACGCCTGTAATCCCAACATTTTGGGAGTCCAAGGCGGACAGATCACCTGAGGTCAGGAGTTCGAGACCAGCCTGGCCAACATGGTGAAACCCCGTCTCTACTAAAAATACAAAAATTAGCGGGCATGGTGTCGGGTGTCTGTAATCCCAGCTACTCGGGAGGCTGAGGCAGGAGAATCGCTTGAACACAGGACGCAGAGGTTGCAGTGAGCCAAGACCTTGCCATTGCACTCCTGCCTCAGTGATTGGGCAAGACTGCGTGTCAAACAAAACAAAACTAAATAAACAAACAAAAAACAGAGGAAAATTCTTTTAAGTCCGAAATGGGGGCAAGCTTGCAATCCATGAGTTTTACGGATTGAGAAAGCCCAGAGAGGCGCAGGGACCACTCCAAGGATACCCAGCGAGCTTGAACTCAGGCCTCCTCGGCTTCCTGCCAAGAGGCGGAGATTTGGCTGCGGCCAAGACAAGCTGTCAGCCAGCTGTGTGCCATCTGCCCAGCTCCCGCTGCGGGTGGAAGATCCATCAGCCGCTTCCTGCGGCTGCCACCAGCTGCGCCCAGCCACCGCGGAGCACCCTCTGCCGGTCAACAAGAGAGAAAACTACAACTCCCAGCAGACCCCGGGAGATAATGTCTTGTGCGCACGCGCATGCTGGAAAGGCGCCGTTCGCCTGCTACCTGTTGGTTTATGTGAAGAACTACGCTGCCCCGCGGATACAGACTGGAGCTTCAGGGTTTTCCCCAACGGCCATGTTTTTTCCATGTTAGGAGAAACTACACTTCCCATAATCCTTTCTTCCAGGGTTGCGGCGCCTCTAGGCTCCGGAATCGCTGGCGGCCGGGACTGCGGGATCTACAGCCGACATGGCTCTCTTGGCTGGATCGGTGTTGGGCCCCGCGTGTAGGTCGACAGCGTTGCTGGGTGGCAGGTAAGTCCTCAGGGGGACCCATCCCCAAATCTGGGGATAAGGGCGGCGTCTGAGGCTGGCGCCACTGTTTACTGCCCGCACGACCTGCCCGTGCCTTGCGCATTTGTGGAGCGCCTGTTGCAGCCAGGCTCTGTCCGTGGGAGCCGAGGCTCAGCGATTGAGCGCCGAGGTCACCCAGCGCCCCGTCTGACCTTTCTCTTCGTCTCTCTACCCACGCAGGTGGCTTCAACCCCGGGCCTGGCTGGGATGCCCGGACGCCTGGGGCCTCCCCACCCCGCAGCAGGCCCGGGGCAAGGCTCGCGGTAACGAATATCAGCCGAGCAATATCAAACGTAAGCACAAGCACGGCTGGATCCGGCGCCTGAGGACGCCGGCCGGCGTCCAGGTCATCCTTCGTCGAATGCTCAAGGGCCGTAAGTCGCTGAGCCATTGAGGATCGCGATGCTGCCGGCCGGACCCCCATGAAAGCATCGCCCTCGCCTTGGACCTTGCCTGGCGCTGTTTTTGCAGGGAGCTGGGGAGCAGGAACGCCTCGGACCTGAGTGTTCTTCGTATTGTGGCGCTGAGGTCTGGTTGGGAACTTGCCAAATCCCTTTTTAGGCTTTTGAATTAGGAAGAATGTCGAACCTGCGCACTGACCGCAGGACAGTACAACGAACCGCCGTGTACCCAGTACACAGCTCTGCCACCAACTACCTACAACCCATCCCTGCCCCATCCTAGGTTCTTTTCCAGTGTATCTCAGGCATCAGATTATTTCTTCTGTAAATATTTCAGAATGGATCTCTCCACGATAAGTTTATGAAAACGTAATTACAAAGCTTATTACATCCAAAAGAATTATCAATAATTTTGAAATATTAAATGTGTAATAAATGTTCAAAGTTTCACTTGTCTTTATTATTATTTTATTTTTTATTTTTTTTAGGGTTAGGGTTAGGGACTACGGATTAGGGATTAGGAGTTAGGGTTAGGGTAGTTTTACTTTTTTTTTTTTTTAACTGTTTGTTAACCACTTGTCTTACATGTGTCATAACTCTTTTTCTTTTTCCTTTTTTAGATCAAGTCTTGCTCTGTTGCCCAGGCTGGAGTGCAGTGGCATGATCTTGGCTCACTGCAACCTCCACCTCCTGAGTTCAAACGATCCTCCTGCCTCAGCCTCCTGAGTAGCTGAGACTACAGGTGCCCACCACCACACCCAGCTAATTTTTTTTTTTTTTTTTGAGGTGGAGTGTCACTCTGTCATCAGGCTGGAGTGCAGTGGCGTGATCTCAGCTCACTGCAGCTTCTGCCTCCTGGGTTCAAGCGATTCTCCTGCTTCAGCTTCGTGAGTAGCTGGGACTACAGGTGCGTACCATCACACCCAGCTAATTTTTGTATTTTTTTTTTTTTTAAGTAGATATAGGATTTCACCATGTTGGCCAGGATAGTCTCCATCTCTTGACTCATGATCCGCCTGCCTCGCCCTCCCAAAGTGCTGGGATTACAGGCGTGCACTACCACACCCAGCTAATTTTTATATATATATTTTTTGAGACGGAGTTTCACTCATGTTACCCAGGCTGGAGTGCAATGGCGCGATCTCAGCTCACCGCAACCTCCGCCTCCTGGGTTCAGGCAATTCTCCTACCTCAGCCTCCTGAGTAGCTGGGATTACAGGCACGCACCACCATGCCCAGCTAATTTTTTGTATTTTTAGTAGAGACGGGGTTTCACCATGTTGACCAGGATGGTCTCGATCTCTTGACCTCGTGATCCACCCGCCTCGGCCTCCCAAAGTGCTGGGATTACAGGCTTGAGCCACCTCGCCCGGCCTAATTTTTGTATTTTTAATAGAGACCGGGTTTCGCCATGTTAGCCAAGCTGGTCTTGAACTCCAGCTGGTAAGGAGTTTGAATTTTCCACCTGCCCTTGGGGATATGTGATTTTGAGCAAGGACTTAGCTCTGTGAAGGCGCATTTGTTGCCTATAAAATACAGCACTCCTTTCTCCTCTGCACTGTTGCTGTTAGAGTAATAATACTTAGTAGCTTCCAGTTAGCAACTTTTTTTTTTTTTTGAGACGGAGTGTTTCTCTGTTGCCCGGGCTGAAGTGCTATGGCACTGTCTCAGCCCACTGCAACCTCTGCCTCCTGGGTTCAAGCGATTCTCCTGTCTTAGCCTCCCAAGAAGCGGGGAATACAGGTGACTGCCACCACGCCCAGTTAATTTTTGTATTTTTAATAGAGATGGGGGCTGGTCTCGAACTCCTGACCTCATGATCCTCCTGCCTCCACCTCCTAAAGTGCTGGGATTACAGGTGCAAGACATTGTGCCTGGCCCATTTAGCAACTTCACTGTGCAATTGCTATGTGCTGGGTGCCCAGTCTTTGCTGTGGAAGTGAGGGAGGCAGTTTGGACGCAGCAGTGTCAGGGCTGGGAGAGGGGTTGTGAGGGCTGTAGGAGCTCAGTGAAGGTATCTGACTTGCCTTTTTTGTTGTTGTTGTTTTTTTAATCTGGCCCCAATCTGCCAGAACTGACTTGCCTTTTTTGAAGAATGCAGTCAGGGAAGTCTTCTTGGAGGAAATCAAGGTTTGGGAGAGCCCAGATGTAGAAGTGATTGGTTAGAGATGAGGACACAGGTGGGTGATGGAGGCCGCAGGGGCTCATAAATGGGGCCAATGAGGTAGGATTGAATACTAGGGAGCTACAGGAGGTGTTTGAGCAAGAGGGTCTTGAGGAGGAGCTAGGGAGTTATGGTTCTCCTAGGGCTTCTTTAAAAACATAATTAACACAAGATGATTCAGGCATGATTGCTCCCAGAACTTTGGGAGGCTGAGTCTGGAGGATTGCTTGAGGCCAGAAGTTTGAGACCAGCTTTGGAAACATAGTGAGGCCCCTCCACGCATGCCATATCTTAAAAACACACAGATGGCCGGGCATGGTGACTTACACCAGCGCTTTGGGAGGCCAAAGCAGGTGGATCATGAGGTCAGGAGTTCGAGACCAGCCTGGCCAGCATGGTGAAACCCCATCTCTACTAAAAGTACAAAAATTAGCTAGGCGTTGTGGCAGGCGCCTGTAATCTCAGCTACTTGGGAGGCTGAGGCAGGAGGCTGAGGCAGGAGAATCGTTTGAACCTGGGAGGCGGAGGTTGCAGTGAGCCAAGACCGTGCCTTTGCACTCGAGTCTGGGCGACAGAGTAAGACTCTGTCTCAAAAAAAAACACAAAAAACAAAAACAAAAACAAAAAAACACAAACCAGACACGGGTGGCCACGGTAGTTCATGCCTATAATCCCAGCACTTTGGGAGGCCAAGGTGGGTGGTTCACCTGAGGTCTGGAGTTCGAGACCAGCCTGGCCAACATGATGAAACGTCGTCTTTACTAAAAATACAAAAATTAGCTGGGCGTGGTGACGCACATCTGTAATTCCAGCTACTCGGCAGGGTGAGGCAGCACAATCGCTTGAACCTGGGAGGCGCAGGTTGCAGTAAGCCGAGATGGCGCCAATGCACTCCAGCCTGAAAGACAGAGTGAGACTCCGTCTCAAAAACAAAATAATAATAAAAATAAGATAACAGGCCGGGCGCGGTGGCTCAAGCCTGTAATCCCAGCACTTTGGGAGGCCGAGGCGGGTGGATCACGAGGTCAAGAGATCGAGACCATCCTGGTCAACATGGTGAAACCCCGTCTCTACTAAAAATACAAAAAATTAGTTGGGCATGGTGGCGCATGCCTGTAATCCCAGCTACTCAGGAGGCTGAGGCAGGAGAATTGCCTGAACCCAGGAGGCGGAGGTTGCGGTGAGCTGAGATCGCGCCATTGCACTCCAGCCTGGGTAACGAGCGAAACTCCGTCTCAAAAAAAAAAATAAATAAATAAATAAGATAACAAAGAACAAATATATTTTAAAAAATACGCAGAGACACACAAAAGCCCTAGGGAGACTCTTGTAGATGTAAACTACAACTCCCAATAGATTTCGCGGCCCGGGCCTCCGCCCACTTCCGGATCTCACTTTCCATTGCTGCCAAGTCCCGGGCGGGGCTTTGCTTCTTCAATCGAACTTGACCACAAAGGGAGGAGGCGTGGCAGCCAATGGACGCATGAATTAGCTGGATGTTGCCAATAGGAGCGCGCAAAGCTCTCATGTAAAGGGCGGGGCTAGAGTGCGGACCAATGACGGGGCGCGGTGGCGCCATCAGTGTGGGCTGTGCCGAGGCTGGAAGTTACTGTGAGGCGGCGGCTAAGAAGGCGGCTGTGGTGGCGGCGGTGGAGGCTGAGGCGGTGGCCGAGGCGGCTACGGAAGAAACAGAAGATGGTGAGGATGGCCTTCAGGCCTTTACTCCCCCTCCGCTCGACAAAATGGCGCCTTAGTCCCACCCACCTCCGGCATCCCCCTAGACCCCTCTCCGCCTTGCCCGGCCTCCTCGGCCCCGCTCCCGCCCCTCACACTCAGCTGTGACCTTCGACCCCCGTACCCTACCAAGAGCTTCCTGCCGATCCCACCACCACTCCTTCTCCGACCCCTGACCCCGTATAGGATACCAGGCCCTGACAACTCATTCATTTCCGGGTTACGGCTCCCCCCCCAACCCACCCCCGGAAATCGTCTGGGGTGGGGTTGGGGTCCCATAGGACCCCCTGGTCTGGCCTTGGCTTCGGCGCGCCGGGCCTGGATGTCTTCAGTTCAGAATAATTAGGGAGCCAACCTGGGCCCCGGGGCGGGGGAGGGGGCTTGGCACGGCGATATGCAGGGCTTTGTCGCCAAAGGAAGTGCGACATCGCCGACTGTCCCGGTCCCCCGGGTCCTGACCCCACCTCCGCTATTCTGGGCCCTTACCTGCCCCTAAGAATGAACAACTTTACCTCTCCGGTCCGAATGGGGTTGCCCCTGTCAAATGAGAGTAGCAGTAGTCTGAACCTCATAGGATGGTGACAATTTAGGCAACTGACGTCGTAAAGGACCCAGGACAGTGAATGCTCAGACTCGAGGCCAGTGACATTCTCTCCTAGCTGTCCCCTTATCACGAAGTGTGCATTGTCCCCACCTGACTCTTTGAAGGTTGAAATTCCTTCAGAGCTCCTCAGTCTTCCTGGGATTTGGGTCTGGTGGTTCTTTGGGGTTCAGTCTCCTCACCTGAAAAGTGGGATGGTAACCCACCCTCAGAGGGGAGCTAAAGCCTCTCCTCAACCCCCACTAGTTGGCATCCTCAGGGCTGGGAAGGGTGATGGGAAGTTTGGACAAGGAAAGTCAAGACCCCTTTGCCCCCTGACCCAGAGTCCCAGCCCACAATCCACAGTCCTTGGGATGTGGTCGGGATGAAAGGAAGACTCCCTTTCAGGAAGGAAATGGGAAGGTGCATTTCTAGTGTGCGAGTCCCCAAGCCTGGGTGTTGTCCTTGATGCCTTGGTATGGTCTCATATCTGCAGCCAGTCTTAAGTGAATTTGATAAGCTCTGTCTTCAGAACACACCTGAATCCCTCCATGGTTTCATATCCTAGTGCAGGTACTGCCACCACCCACCTGCGTACCTGCCCCAGCCTCCTCCCTGGTCTCCTAGCCTCGATCCCACTCCTTTGACAGTTCATAATTCACCTGAACCAGAAGGAGTTGTTCTTTGGAGGCAGAGTCTCCCTCTGCCGCCCAGGCTGGAGTGCAGTGGAGTGATCACAGCTCACTGTAGTCTCTACTTCCCAGGCTCAAGAGATTCTCCCACCTCAGCCTCCCAAGGAGCTGGGACCACAGGCACATGCCACCATACTCTGCTCATTTTTGTACTTTTTGGAGAGATGGAGTCTCCATATGTTGCCCAGGCTGGTCTTGAACTCTTGGGTTCAAGCGATTCTCCTGCCTCAGCCTCTGAAAGTGCTGGGATTACAGGCATCAGCCACTACCCAGGGCCTCAGAAGGAGTTTTTAAAGATGTGCATCAAGTGATACTACATTCTTTCTTTGTTTTTTTTTTTTTTGAGATGGAGTTTCACTCTTGTTGCCCAGGCGCAGTCTCGGCTCACTGCAACCTCCGCCTTCTGGGTTCAAGTGATTCTCCTGCCTCAGCCTCTGAAAGTGCTGGGATTACAGGCATCAGCCACTACCCAGGGCCTCAGAAGGAGTTTTTAAAGATGTGCATCAAGTGATACTACATTCTTTCTTTGTTTTTTTTTTTTTTGAGATGGAGTTTCACTCTTGTTGCCCAGGCGCAGTCTCGGCTCACTGCAACCTCCGCCTTCTGGGTTCAAGTGATTCTCCTGCCTCAGCCTCCTGAGTAGCTGAGATTACAGGCATGCGCCACCACACCTGGCTAATTTTTGCATTTTTAGTAGAGACAGGGTTTCTCCATGTTGGTTAGGCTGCTCTCAAACTCCTGACCTTAGGTGAGCCATGTGCCTTTGCCTCCTAAAGTGCTGGGATTACCGGCATGAGCCACTGTGCCTGGCCCAAATGATACCACTTTCTAGCCTATAAAATACTCGGGGGCTTCCTGTTGTAAACCGGATGACCCTGGCTGTCCTTCTCCCCCTGAGGCCCCTGGCCACCTTTATGACCTCATCTCTGCTCTGTGAGCTCCAGCCACCCCTACCCTGGCCTTGTTTTCACTTCCTCACACTCCAGGTTCCTGCCACCCCAGTGCCTTTGCACCTGATGCTCTTTCTGCTCAGAACACTCTTCCTTCTGTGATCGAGGCCCTTCCTGACTTTGGGGGTTCCCAAGTCTCTTTGCTGTCAGTGCAGCGCTTCTCTTCCTCATCTCTTTGTTGGGTCCCTGGCAGGCTACCTGCGGTAGGACTTTGTCAGTGCATGTCTGCTGAGGCATCGGATGGCTGCAGGGCCCAGCTGTGGTTGGCGTTTGTCTGGCTGAGATGAGGGTTCCCCCATCCCCTGACTCCCATGTCTGAGGCCTTGTTTTCCAGCTTAGCAAGGGTGGGAAGGCTGCATGTACCCCACCTTCATTCATTTGTTCAGTGAAGACATGTTGATCCTAGAGGCTGCCCTTGAGGGAGCTCCAGGCAAAGCTTTCCCCTTGTTGTCTTATGACTCAGAGTAAGCCTGGGAGGTAGCCCTGTTGGAATGCCTCCCTTCACAGGGAGGCTCAGAGGATGGGAGGTCACTCGTCCCAGGTCACATAGCCAGGGATGGGCTGAGCCAAGATTGAGAGCAGAACACTGAGATACCTGCACCTCTTGCCACTCAGCCTCCAGGCCCCATGCAAGCCCTGCCAGGGTTGAGTCAACCTTCTGCCCTCAGGGTGGTACTGGTCCAGCCAGGGAGGTGGATGTGTAAACAGATGATCTCGCCAGGGTGTGACGGAGGCTCTGGGAGAGGCTCTTGAAGTGCGAGGGGAGCAGAAGGGCAAGGAATGGGTTGGAGCTGGTGGGGAGGTTAGCAGGTATTTGCCATATGGAGACATGAGGGGCATTGCTAGAAGGTATGTGTGACAGAGGTTGTGGGTGATAGGAGCCTAGCAGGGGCAAGCTGGGCCAGGGCTGTGAAGGGGGACAGGGCCCCCTCCTCACACTTCAGGTCTCAGTGCCTGTATCCCTGCATCTGGGCAGCCCTCCCTAATGCCCCGAATGGACCAGAGCTCTGCCCAGTGCCCTTGAGGCACCCTGTCCTGCAGCCACTTCCCATGTACTGTGCAGTTCTGTGCCCTACACCATCCCAAGGCCAGGCGCAGCTTCATGGTGGCTCAGTCCAGTGCCCTGGTGCCTGGTAGGGCCCCAGAAGACCTTACAAAATGAATGAAGCTGGTCCCAGAGCCGGGGACTGAGCTCAGGCTGACATCTTAGGATGGGAGGGGAAGCAGGTTTGAGGGACTTTGAGCTGGTCCTGGGCCAGTAGGTCATCCAGATGTGAGGACTGTCTCCCGGGTGGAAGGGGGAGGCCCACCTAGGCATATTCCAGCTTCCTGAGAGGGACCAGCAGAGGAGAGGTTGGATGTCATAGCAACTGGTGCTCTCGCCTGTCCCAGAGGGTGGTGGGAAATTGTCTGAACAGCAGCTACTCCCAGGGCAGCTCTCTTGGGCCTCAGGAATTGAGGGATTGCCCTTTCTTCTAGCTCTGTAGTCTGCAGGGGCTCTAGTCTTTGATTTCAGGCATGTGATGAAGAGAAGGAGATTGGCTTCTGAGGCTGGGCACACATGGGTTCGAGTCAGCCCCCTGGTTTTCTGGCTGAGACTGGGTGACCTCTCTGCCTTTGTGTCCTTGCCTTTGATAGGGAGACACTACCCACTGGCTCGTTGGGTCAGGAGATCATACATAGTGAGCTCAGGAGCGCCCCATTCAGGACAGGCTATGTGGGGAGGCCTGCAGCAGGCAGCCCCACCACTGTCCAACTCCAGGCCTCACTGACTGGTTGAAAAGGGATTTTTTGTTTTCTTATTTATTTATTTTTGAGACAGAGTCTGGTTCTGTTGCCCAGGCTGAAGTGCAGTGGCATGATCTCAGCTCGCTGCAACCTCCACCTCACAGGATCAAGCCTTTCTCCTGCCTCAGCCTCCCAAATAGCTGGAATTACAGGCGCCCGCCACCACACCCAGCTAATTTTTGTGTTTTTAGTAGAGACAGAGTTTCACTGTGTTGGCCAGGCTGGTATTGAACTCCTGAGGTCAGGTGATCTGCCCACCTCGGCCTCCCAACGTGCTGGGATTACGGGTGTGAGCCACTGTGCCTAGCTGAAAGGGGCTTCTGAAGAGTGAATGGATTCTGTTGTTGCTGCTCTGAAGCCACTTGGGCCTGAACACTTAGGTGGCCAAGTCCCCTGCCCCAGAAACCAGCGATAGGGAGAGAACATCCTGCTTCTCTCAGGCTGTGGTCCTCTCCCCATAAGGGGCCCAGGTTCCATGCTGTGGACAGGGCGTTCTCCCCTCACAGGGCAGGTTCAGACCTTGTGGCCAACTTTGGGGTATGGGGACCCTAGGAACAGCCCTGGAACTGACCAGTCCCAGACCCTGGTTACTTTAGTCCACACAGCGTTTT